GGGGGGGGGGATTTTACTTGCTAGTTTTGGTTATTGGGGGGGTTATATTCCCCCCCCCCACAAACTACGCCCCTTGATGTAGTGCGAACAGTCTGTTCATGTCATGTTCTAATGATAAAATGAGATCTCACTCTGCAGGAGTTGGTGCACAGGGACCCCCAGGTAAAATAGGACCAGCAGGGCCAGCAGCGCCAGCAGGTGCTGTTGGCCCTAAAGGGCAGAAAGGAAGTCCAGGTCCACAAGGTAAAATAAATACATTTTAACATAAAATAATAACATAAAATACTTACCTGGCAGGGGAGACACTATGACCAAGAAGGTGGTTCACCCAGAGCGAGGCTCAGCCATTGTACGGCGACCGAGCTCACGTCTGCGAATTCGGAATTCCCCTAATCTCGACTGCATAATTTATGCTAGAGGGGGACTGTATGGGACACCATAATTGGCCAAACGTCACGTCACGTACTTTCCTTACCCTATACACACACACACACATACATATATATATATATATATATATATATATATATATATATAGACCTCAAGCTCAAGCGCACTTGGGTTATGCAGCAGGACAATGATCCCAAACACACCAGCAAGTCCACACCAGCAAGTTTGGAGCGGCTAAGTCAAAGTCCGGACTTAAATCCGGTTGAGATGCTGTGGCATGACCTTTAACAGTCCATTCATGATCGAGAACCCTCTGTGACTGAATTAAAACAATCCTGCAAAGAGGAGTGGGCCAAAATTCCTCCAAAGCGATGTGAAAGACTCATTGCCAGTTACTGCAAATGCTTGATTGCAGTTGTTGCTGTAAAGGGAGGCATGGCCAGTTATTAGATTTAGGGGGCAATGACTTTTTCACATAGTGCCAGGCAGGTTTGAACAGCTTTTTTCCCTTAATAAATGAAATTATTATTTCAAAACTGCATTTTGTATTTACTCGGGTTATCTTTGTGTAATATTAAAATTTTTTGATGATCTGAATTATTCAAGTGTGACAGATATGCAAAAAAAAAAAAAAAAAAAAACAGGAAGGGGGCAAAAACTTTTTCACATCACTGTATACACACACACTGTGGACAGAAAGTCCATTTGTGTCTTTTCACATTGCATCATTGCGCAATTGCAAACTGCATAAATTCCTTCATTTTCATAAGAACGTAATTTCACTGTTTCGTTTTTTTTTTCCACAGGCACTGCTGCTGACATTAATTTAATTACAAAACTTCAATTAGACATCAAAAAACTAATAGACAGACTCAATGGAATAGAGAAAGGTATGTTAGTTCTAAACAAATAGTAACTGCCTCAAAGTTTATTGTTGTGGAAAAATATTTAAGTTTAGTACCTTGCTGTTAACATATACATTAAATAATATTTAACCTTTATATGAAGCTTCCAGGTTTAGCATATTTAGGAATATTGGAGGAAAATACTATGTGTCTGATGCGCTGACAGCAAATTACAATGATGGATTGAAGTTCTGCACAAATGCAGGGGGAAGAATTGCCCTGCCAACAAATAAAGAGGAAAATAACTTGTTAATGTCATTGCATGCTGTCCTTGGATCTTCTTATATAATGATTGGAACAACAGACATTCGGATAGAGGGGACATTTGTAGATATGCACAATCAACCTCTGACTTTTACCAAATGGAAGAAAAATTAACCTAATGATTATCGTGGAAGTGAGGACTGTGTTGCCATCTTAACAGATGGTGAATGGAACGATGTTAAGTGTAACTCAGAGTGGCACGTGGTGTGTGAACTACAAATGTAATACATTTCGGAGAACATTTAAAGTAATTATTTAGTTTCATACTTAAATTGTGAGTAAAAATGTTATGGTTTGGCTACAATCATAACTTTAGCCTTTGCCTTCTGCATAAGCAAAGCTTCAGTTTCACTCCTGGTTATCCTGAGAAAGAAAATCAATCATTAACATTTATTTAAACATTGGATCTTGTTGTTTTGTATAAAATGCATCAAATTAATAATTTTTTGTGTTTGGACATCTAGATATATTTGGATTCATCAAATTACTTCTACACTATAAGAAGAAAAAGTAGACAAATGGAAAAGTTATTGATAATTTTCTACCTTTCTGTTAAGTTTACAGATGTTTCCTTGAACCCTACAACACAATACAAAGTGTACTTGACAATACAAGGAAAACACCACCAAAAAATCAGTACCGACCATATTTTTACGGAGTGCATATTTAAATATGGTTCATATAGCCTATATTTTGCACAAATCAAGATAATAAGTGATAATATTGATATTGTGATTTCTTAGTTACTTACTTGTAGTATTAATTTAATGTTAAAGTTAATGGAAAACTACAGTTCTTTTTTTCACAGAGGTGTCACTTTAGGATCAAAACCAATTCAAAATACTGATAAGATACATAATAATGAACCATGACCACAAATGTAAGCAATAATTAACTGCATTCAATCATGCAGAGGAATTGAGCCCTTCACAACGTAAACAGAACTTAAAGTGTGTCCTATAACTATAACAGATAGCGAAATGGGTTAGTAAGAAAAGTTTATTTCAGTTCAGGAGTTCAGGAGCTCAAACATTTATTGTCCTTGCGTTCTTTCAGTTGTTCAAACAGTTCATTTGCTTTAGAAAAACTCTCGATTATAAGGTCATGAATCAAAGTAGGCTATGCGGTTTTTCAGTGCAAAAACAATCATTGTAAGTTGCACATAAATTACAGGACAACATATGTGACTAACATATACAGGTTGAAAACTAGTAAAATGATACAGTATTTGTTTCTGTTTGTTTTGTCATTGAACTCTGGGTACCTACGTCAAATTTGGTGAAGGGTCGTGTTCTCTTTTAGTGCTGATCGCCAGGCCTGATCTGTTGGTAAGATTTATATGCTTCTGGTAAGGATTTTTAAAAAGCAGTAAACAAAAGAGAGAAGTAGACATGCCAGTAGTTTGTTTTGTTGTCCAGTTTCAGTATTTTAGTATGTCATAATATTTTATATTTTATTTTGATTTGAGACCACTGTTGGGCAGAATGCCTTTTAATATTCAATATATAACTGAAAATGTGAGAAAAAAACGTTACACTTGTTGCTTACCTTCCTTTTACTTTCCGTTGTGAACTTGTTTGAAATCAAAATTAATATCAAACCTCGTTGTTATTAAATATCCTCATAATCAGAGTGAAATTACATTTTTACGAAGTGAAAATTATTTTTAAATAGTGAAAATAATTTTATAAACTGTAAAAATATTTTCCTTTGGACTCAAGGGTGCGTATTCTCTGATGTCTGAATGCAACACTGCGGCAACAGAAATCCTGATTGTGTCCACAGTGAACAGTAGATAGCGCTGTTAAAGGATCAAATCTGTGCTGCTGTGCTGCTTCTTCATGAAGAGTTTATAAAGCAAGAGTTTATGGTGCTTGCTGCAGCTCAAAGTAGTTGTCCAGCTAATGCTGGGGTGCCGGGCTCACCTGGACACAACGGCAGCCCTGGCAGAGATGGAAGAGAAGGGTTTCCTGGACCAAATGGAGAAAAAGGAGATCCAGGTTTGTGCTTTTAGTTGTTGGTGTGTTAAGTCATAAAGTTTGATGTAGCTGTAGAACATAATGCTGAAAGGTAAGGTGACTGCAGATCAGAGAAATTAGATTTAATCATCACTCTTACTCTGCAGGAGTTGGTGCACAGGGACCCCCAGGGAAAATAGGACCACCTGGTGTTGCTGGCCCTCAAGGACACCAAGGGAATCCAGGTCCACCAGGTAAAATTAAAGCACAGTGAATTATCATTTATTAAAGTGAGTTATTATATATATTTATTAAACAGAAAATCAAGATTAATTTTAAACTTTTATATAAAAAAAAAATATTTATTCAAGCAAGGTGTCTAGAATGAAAAAAAAAAGTCAAACTATAAATAAATAGTGATGAAGTTCTAGACTGTGATCACGTATTGTCTTTTAACCATATCTTAATTGAGTTTATACCGTAATTGCATAAGGTTCAAGAAAAATATGCTTCTTGGTATTTTCTTCTGATGCTTGTGATTTTCACTCTGCTATATGCTTTTACAGGCACTGGTGTTCAAAGTGCATTAGTAATACAGCATCAATCTGATGTCAAAAACCTAACAGACAGACTCACTGTAGTTGAGAAAGGTAGAATTCTCCTACATAAACAATGACTGCACTATGCATGTTTTGTTTATACTGTATGTGTAAGAATATGTATATATTTAAGATAATGCTTTTTAAAAATTAAAAATTAAAAAGTTTAGTCCTAGGATTTCGCATGTTCAGGAAAGTGGGCCAGAAATATTACGTGTCTGATGGGCTGGTGGGAAATTTTGAAAAGGCACAGAAGTTCTGCTCTGATGCTGGGGCTAAAATTGTCCTGCCAAGAAGTGAAGATGAGAATAAAGTTCTAACTTCAATGCAAGCTGCCCTTGAGTCTACTTCCGTATATGTTGGTGCAACACACAGAAAGAAAGAAGGGCATTTTGTGGATATGAGTGACCAACCATTAACTTTCACCAACTGGAATGAAAAAGAGCCAAACGATTATAATGGAGCAGAGGACTGTACAATTATTTACAAAAGTGGTCTGTGGAATGACACTGACTGTAATTCAGAGCGTGAACTGTTGGTCTGTGAACTGTGAAACCGATTATGAATTTTTACTGCTCTGATGTTTGAATGAAGAAGGAATAAAGTAAATCATATGAAAACAGACTGCATTTGCATCAAAGTTTATTGTCATAAAAATTCAGGTACGTAATGTTTAGCAACGGTTGGAAGTTTAAAAAAAAAACATTAATTCATTGACTGGAGTCATGTGGATTACTTGTGGATTATTTTGATGTTTTTAATTAGCTGTTTGACTCTCATTCTGGGTACACTATTTGAGGATCATACAATGTTCTCTTCCTTTGAGGAAAATATCACACAGATATTAGCATTACAACACTAGTGGCATAAACATCTTTTTTCATCCAATTCCGGATTCTGTGGACACTCACAAAGAGAAAAGCAGAAAACCGCTGAAGCTAGTGTAGCTGCTTTCATCGTCAAAAACCCAGCTGTTCTCCCACAGTTGTGTGCACACTTCATCACCCTTCTGCAGTGAGAGAACAACACCATTGCTGCCATTAGCATTGGTCTCAGGCTTCAGAGCAAATACAGAGCATTGGAGCTGATTATTTTTATGGAGACTGACTGCCATTTGGTTAAAAGGGTGAGCATGAGCATAAAATCTGAAGAAATAGACTCCATTCACTGGTGCTGTAAAAGTACCTGTGAGATACATAAACATATGAATTTAGTAACCGTAAAGAAATGCCTTTTATTACTTGAATATCCATAGTCACAATGGACAATTGACAACATAAAGAAATATAAATGGCACAGGTTACCAGTGTTGGGGTCATATGCATTTCCAGTGTTAGTGAAGATTTTTTGGTACACCAAAGTTTTCCGGGTGTCAAAAGGTCCAAATTGTTGTGATCCAGATGCCAAAAGTCCAGCTGAAAAGGCAACCTTTTTGGCTGTGATAAGGTAAGTGGAATTGTTTTGGTTTTGCAGTTGGTTTTAAATATAACACCATAGAACAATCATTTTAATTTACCTTTATTTTCTGCCTGGATAGATTCAAGTTCATCCCTTGAGGCTTTTGTGATAGTCCTTAGAGCTATTCAGAATGAACATTGTAGAATTTTATTATAGTGTTCTTGGATGGAAATGATTCAACAGATCAACCTGTCTTGTAAAGGTGAAAATAGATCAAACAGAAAATACATAAGATGTAGATGAGAACTCATCAGTGGTGGACGAAGTACACAAATCAAGTACTTGAGTAAAAGTACAGATACGTATAATAAAATATTACTCCAGTAAAAGTACTCAGTTTTCAATTTTATTCGAGTGAAAGTACAAAAGTACTTGATTTTTTATGTACTTAAGTAAAAAAGTACCGATAGATGAATGTAGATACTTGAAAAATGTACTTAAGTACAGTAACGAAGTAGTTTCCACCACTGGAACTCATACAACTATTACTGAGAGATACTTACCTTCATTCTCTCTCTTCAGTTCTTTCAGTGTTTCCTCAGTGGCTCTCAGCCTTTCCTCAATGTTCTTAAACTGTTCTGATGTAATGAAATCATGTGCCAGTGAGACCCCAACACAAAGCAATAACAGCGTCTTTTGAGCAGCCAACATCTTCATAGCTACCTATGCCTAATGTTTTTATGGTGCATGTAAATTTTGCACAGTTTGGGGCAAGATGGAACCTAATGGTGCAGTAAAAGCAAACATGACCCTTGTATTGTTTGGACTTGCAACACTGACGCAGAAAAGCTTCAGATTAATCTGCAAATACGGGAGAAGATCAGATATTACAAACAATAACTTTTTTGCAGCTATATTAACTCTTCAGATTTGTTTTTCATATTTGGTCATATTCTTTGATCCAATGTCACAGTGGATGATTTCTATGCAGTGAAAATGGTGCAAGAGTTTCCCACTTGAAACTCTTGGTTTGTTCAGAGACAATAGGGATTTTGTCATTTCAATAGCATATAATTAGTTAAAAAAAAATAACAAAATATGTTTGGGATATAATTCTAAAACTGACAGGCCTACTGGGCTATATGCAGTAATATGTAGCCTGTTGTCTCCCAATATGAACATTAATTAAAAAAAAAGTTAAATGTTTAGTCTTTCGTCACTTTGAATAAAGAAATGACTTATAGAAATTAAGTATAGAGACGTTTTTATTGCCAATCACAAAAAAAATGAATGAAGAACAAATAGAAATGTATAAAATTTAATCTAAGATGCTGTAGTAGCTAATATAACTAGGAATGAAAATAATCAATTAATAATGACACCCAGCATAAAATTAATCCTTACGAAACAAAAATCACATACTTTTCAAACATTCCTGTGCCTGCTCTGTGATTGGATAGAAAGTTCATGTAGGGCGTGACGTCACACGGTCGGTTGAACGAAGAAGGAAAGAGGCCAACTTCCGGTATGGTGCGTGCAGTTCAACAGGGACCACAGGACATACCTGCCAGGAAAATGCGGTAGGCTGTTGTCATAACTGAAAGAGAAATTAAAACACAACACATCTCAGTGCTATCTTTACGACTTTGAAATAAATGTGGCATATGGTCATATGGCCTAAGGGCTTTGTAACGGAAGCAATCGGGTTCGCTGATCAGTCATCGATCGATCGGGATTAGGGAGCACGGTTGAACATGGGAACGAGATCGAGCCGTTTACAAGAGGAGGCTGCCGCGACTGCTTTTGATAAAGATGGCATCAAGAGAGAGTCCTGTCGACGAATCCGAAGCACCAGGCCCACTAGCCTCATGGTGGAGTTCTCCGGCAGCTTCGACCATGACTCAGAGACGAACCGCAGCCGGTCGGAAGAGGGCAGCGACTCGGACACTGGGCAGCAGGCGAGCAGCGACGGCAGCCCCGCCGACAGCCACATGTCCCCGTCTCTGAGCAGCCAGGCCTCGCCGACGGACGAGAACGGGGCAGAGGAGGATGGCAGTCCGGGAGGCCCTGTGAGCGCGGAGGAAATAGGCCGAGCACCGCAGCGCACTTTCTCGGAGCGTTTGCCCGGTGGTCGCCATTCTTCCGCCAGCGGCGTCACTGCCAGGTCCGCCCGGGTGAGGGGCACTCACCCCCGGCCAGTGTCTGAGGCGTGGATCGGCCTCTACAGGGTCAACAACCGCCACGGTGGTAAGTGGAAAGACTCATCGTTCCTGTCATTTCAGAAGTTACACCCTGTTCAGCTCCAGTTCTGTCATTTAAACCTGCACTGTTCACAGTGAGTAATAGCTAAACAATGCTCAACAGCGCAATATATTATGGATAAACTAAAATAATCCTATATGGTTTTCATGGTATTCAAAGAGAGAGTTCACCTTAAAATTAAAATTATGTAATCGTTTACTCTCCTTATGTTGTTTCAGATCTATATTTGTTTCACAAAAGACATTAGGCAGAATTAAATCTCTGTTTACCGTGAACTCTTAATTGAAAGAAAGTGAAGTCCCTAATATTAATCTCATTTTGTTTTCCATATGCAAAAGTCAATCCAAAAACTTTCTTCAACTAGTTAGCTTAATGAACGTTTGGTTACATGTCCATTTGTTGGCATTCAATAACAGAGATTAGCAATAATATTCTAAAGTATTTATTGAAGAGTAATGAATACTGTATCAAATGTATTGCTTATTATTAATATTAGTTAATGCTTTAACTAATGGGACCTTATTGTAAAGTGTTACTGAATGTTTATATACACAATAGGCAAAAGCCAATCTGAGTGAATTTACAATATTTGTTTTAAAACCAAATGAAACATGGAAGGTGATTAACAAAGATTAATGATTCTGCATGAGACTAATGAGCTTGCGGTGTAATTAGGCTTTGGGGTTTATAGACATTTCAAGCATTCCTGACAGGATGATCCATGGTGGATTGAAACCGAATAACCAAAGGTAAACCCAGTTTACTGGTGATCTCTGTATTTTTTATTTTTTTTACACTATATTGGTCAGTTGGTCATAGTCCAGCTAGAGGGTTCAGAAATGTCGGCCACATGGGTGTATACTCACCCGTCTGTTACTGTGACTGGCCTGCATATCACAAAACCCTTTCTGCATCTCCATTTTACAATGCTAGACAACTTGCTTAGTAGTTTTCCCCTCCTTTCCAGCTATTCGTTGTCCCTTCTGCACCAAGCCATTCCCTGGAGGGCGAATTGAGGACCATCTTTTAAGTTGTCTGACTTCTCCACCTCTCCCTTATAACAGTAAGCATCCCATTTGTTTTTATTGTTAGGGCCCGAGCACCGATGGTGTGAGGACCCTATTGGAATTGCTCCACTTCTTCTTCTCCTTCTCCAAAGTGAATCGCATTTTTGAGGGCTTAAACATTCTCCAAAACTCATTAAACTTTGCACACGCGTCAGAACTGGTGAAAGTGTACATCTGATACATCTGATATGGGTTTCAGAAGTGGGTGTAGCAAAATGTCTCTATAGCGCCATCTGTAAAATTTCAATGGAGTGCGCCTCCAGCTACGTTTTACGTACATGTATGAAAATACACATGTAACACACCATTACCTACAAAAAACATCTCTTGGTACAAATTCCAAAACCTAACAGGAAGTACATTATTTTGAATTTCCTGTACGATTTTTGTGCAGTTTTTGCCATTTTCAGACCTTGTACTTTGACGAACTCCTCCTACAGTTTTAATCTGATCATCTTCAAATTTGGTGAGGGTTATCATAAGGCCTTTGTGACGTTAAATTGCGAAGATCTTGAGTTTTCGTCAAGGGGCGTGTCCCTGGTGGCCTGACAAGTTTGATGTTTCGCCATGAAACAGGAAGTTGCTGTAACTCAGGCAAGCAATGTCCGATCTGCCCCAAACTTCACACGTTTGATAGGTGTTCTGTCCTGAACACATACCCATGCCACAAAAATATGTTGTGTCTGTGTGTGCGCGTGAGGTGCCTGCGCGATATCATACCAACGCTGGTTGGTTATACACCGATAGAAGCAAGACATCATTCAAAACTGTCAAGCTTTTGCAAAATAATTAAAACTGTAAAATAAATAAAACTGTAAAGCTTTTAAAATAAAGAAAAATACTCTCTGCCATCTCGTTTTCCTTTCCGAGAACTTTGGAACGCGTCACAATGAACCGTAACACACATTTTTTTTCTTTCGTTTTGTTAATCTGTCAAAGATTTAAGTGAAATATATTTAGTGTATATGCCTATATATTACTTTTTGTGTAAGCCTATAGTTTTATTCTGTTTTCTCCGTTCACAGAATCGCTGCAGGTGCGTGTGATCTGTTGAGTCCATCTTACACTGTCCTCGGATAAACTAACGCCGGTGCGTTGCGACTTACCTATGATGAGTTCTTGAGTGCGAACATTTCACTCGTTGGATGCGTCAGCGTCACATTTGCACAGGCCGTACTACTGGAATTCATGATTGGTTGACAGCAAATTTCCAAATATTAAATGGAACGATAAAATAACGTTATTAACTGATTAATGGCCATTTCAAATTTTCGATTCTGTTCGGAACTATAAAATTAGATTCTGTTTCTGGTTGTGTTCCTGTCAAAATTTCGTTTGTTTACGGTTTTCGTTCTTTGAACCGGTTCAGAGCCCTGGTTAAAGCATGCTATTAATGCAGTGAAACAGGAAGTTGATGTAACTCAGGCATGCAGTGTCCAATCTGCCCGAAACTTAAAGGGGTCCTATTATGCTCTTTTACAAAGTATTGATTTTGTTTTGGGGGTGTACTAGAACAGGCTCTCATACTAGGATTGTTCGAAAAACACATTATTTTTCACATTTTACATTATTACAACGCCTCTCTCACCACTCTGGCATGAACAGCTCGAATAGTTCCTGTGTATCAAATGAAGGCCCGCCTTCTGAAATACGAAATGTGCTGTGATTGGTTAGCTGGGCTAGTGTGTGTTGTGATTGGCACCACTCGGCGCCTGGTCGGGAAATATCATGCCGCCTGCGAGCTTTAGTGTAAATATTGCGTCAAAATCAAATCAGTTTGAGCGCGATTTTAAACCCGGATGATTGTAACCACTCTTAAGTTCGTCTGCTTTGGGGAAACTAGCGCGTCTCCGACATAGTGATAACAGTTCGCAATGTCCGAACTGTCCTGAGCGCGTTCGCGTCTTCTTCTTCAGCCTGCGCGTGAGGCGGCGTCTTCTTGCTTTACAGCAGATCGCAGACTTATAAGTGCATTACTGCGGCGGCGTCTTTACAGCAGATCGCAGACTTATAAGTGCATTACTGCCACCTATCTCTCAAATGGACCATTGACCATTGAAGTTGAGATTGTAGATAGAGTGTCAATGGTCCATTTTCAGACATTAAATCAGAGGTAAAAAACTATATAAATACTGTTCAGTTTCTTGCACAGACCGATCGTTTTTCGTTTTGAGACCTCAATATATAATCAGGAGCCATGGGTATTAATTTTTTGTTCCTTGATATGCTTTTTTTAAAATTCTCAAATAAGCAGCCACTGACTTGCATTTTATGAATCACCAAGAGCAACAGTTTCAGCTAAAAATCTTCTTTACTGTTATACTCAATAAAAAAAGTCACCTACATTTTGGATGGCGGTCACGATTTCCCCTCAACACACCCCGTAATACGTCGTATGATAAACATCTTTTTGGGCGAACTATCCCTTTAACCGGTTAACTGACCGTTAGAATTTTGACCGATTAATCCGATTAATAAAACGGTTTAAAAAGTAATTAAATTATTTATTTTTTCAGTAATTTATCAGAATATTTAAAAAGGATTGCTGCATGGTTAAAATACGCTACGTGTATAAAAAAATGTTT